CAGTTCTGCCTCCAGTTCGAGAATGCGTTGTTGGCTCGCCACATCCGCAGATGGTTGAGCCGGGAGCCAAGATTGGAGAAGTTGAGCAACGTCTTTGGCCATGTTTTGAGTTGCTTCCTTCTGGTTGAGACATTGGCCTGCCGAGCGAGCTCGAAAGGTAGCAAGTTTGTCCAAATCCACATTGCGGGTGCGCAGTTGTGATACCAATTCAGCCACAAATACTGTAGTGCCTATGTTGTCAAAAGGGAGGACGAAGGTTTCTCTTCCGTATGCAACCCGACGGAGCCAGGTATTGTGCAAGCCCTGGTACAAAAACTTCCAGAGTGGGACTTGTAAAGGATCCATCCCTTCAATGTCCTTGTAGCTTGAAAATCTGCTCTGTCGGATTCTGGAAGGGAAATCCAAACCATTGATCTTGTTGGAGTCGTGGAAGTCGACATCAGGTTTCCATTGCTCCACTGGTGGGATTTCAATTGGTCTGCATGTATATCCTTCGTTGACAGTAGAACTTGCTCCCGGGGATGACATAGGTCTTGGTGATCTCGGTGTAAAAGGATGGCGTTGAGGTGCAAAATTGGCATTGTTGGGAGGTGTCTGTGAGCACGGAGGCGGTGTGGGCGGAAAAGGTGCCGTAGGTGGAGTCCATGGTGGGCGTGTTGGGAACGATAGAGATGTAGGTGGTGGAGGCGGTATTCCGGATGGGTTCCAGAAAGGTCGATGGGTTGTCATTGCATAGTGCATCGGGCCACGGAACGCCGGTACTGCTTGGTGCCATCCATGTTGATGACGAGGAGGTGTGCGAGAGCGGTCCGGCTGGGAAGGAGGAATTCCATTCACATCCGCGCTGAATTGGGAGATCAGGTCCTGGGACGCCATGATGTAGAAAGGGCCACGAAATAATAGGTCAAAATGAGCTCGAACTGCCGATTGAAAGCTGCGGAAAATGTCGAGGTGAGACAAGGGTAGTGTGCGATTGAAATAGTGTGAAACATAATACGTGGTCCCAGTGTGTGAAACGTAAAGTGAAAACGAATCGGGCGAAAGGATCAAAAAACATGAGCAAGCAGCAGTACACAAACCTTTTAAGGAAGAAGTGGCGTCAATACCGAATGTCGGGAGAAGCATTGTTACTCCAAAATGATCGGGCAGGGCCACTAGGCTCACTATATCACTGACGTAGAATAGTCGATACTTGTTCCGGTGCTCCTCAGAGGTAAAAAGTTCACCAACGAGATCTGGAATGGTAGGTCGAATGTCGAGAACCAGGTCGGCCTTCATGGTGCTGGTCTCGAGAGTGGCCTTCATGATATGAGGAACGGCGATCTCGGCGGCTGTAGGTTGAATTGTCCCAAGAAGCATTGTCGTGCCAAGATCGGCGAGCATGGTCCCGAGAGCCAGACGCAGCGGTCTCGCGGTGGCGAGGTGTATCTCGAGAGTCGTTTGGAGGTGGCTCCGAAGGTTCTGGGGCGTCGGCAGGAGGGTCAGGTCGTACTGGACGTGCATGATCATCAGGAGGTTCCGAAGGTGCATTGGTCTCCGCCGTCTGGTGTGTGATCAAGCCCGGGAAAACCGAGTGAGTGGAGGCTACGTAGCATATGGATGCGGCGCTTGAGTTCATAGCCGTTGCATTGTCTTTGCCCTTGGCGATGCCCGCAAGGTTGCACAAGCGTTGGATTTGGTCATTTCCTCCAGCTAGGGCACGGATGCATTTGGGTGAGCGGCAAATGGCCAGCAGGCCTGATGGGTTTTGTCCTTTGCCAATTTTGTAGAGCTGAGAGGTACAGATCTTGACAGCATAGCCGGGTAGGTTGTCGATGTCTGCGATCTCAGAGGACATTCCGAAGAACCCGTAACACGGGTATTGAGTTGGCATGCCGGCTTCGTTTTTTGTCCAAGTTGCCGGGCGAATGCAGTCTTCCGCGAGAATTTTGGCAACTGTTTCCCAACTCGTTTTGTGGTAGATCAGGTAGGTGCCCATGTGTTCGCCACGGTAGATTGGTTTCTTTGGCAATCCTGTGGGAACCGTGATGGTCAGCAAGTTCTCTGGCTCGATGTAGAAGGCTTGTGTTTGCCTCGCGAGCTCGATGTCCAGTAAGTTGGATTGTGCAAAGGCCCTGGCAATGTTCCTGACGGTGGCTTGGCTTGCTTTAATATAAATACGATGGTTGTTGACGGTGCGGTATGGTTGAGCCAACTGTTCGAACATCGCGTCCACGAATTGGTTGAAGAGCTGCGAGACGGCCGGGGTCAAGGATTGGCGTAGGGGGACAACATGATCGGGGCCAAGCTCAGTCAAGCAACGGACCCTAAGAGGATCATTGGCCGCTTCAACCATTTCACTGAAGTCGATGTCATTCGTGTCGAACTTGGTGATCGAAATGGTATCTGCAACTTCAGAATTTTCACTGTCGCCGTCAGGGAGTCGGAAGGACACAGCGCCGAGTGGTGCTGAAGTGTGAGTTGGTGGGTTGGTTGGTGGTTCCGGTGGTGGTGGATCGGCAGGAGAATTGGGTCGAGCATTGTGATGATGGTAGTTGTCGGTGTAGTGGCTGTCGTTCCATGTACCCCAGGTGTCATCAGCGTCGGGAGTGGGGATGTAGTTCGGATTGGATGGGTTTGCAGCAGGTCGAAGTACGACTTCACGGCCTCTGGATCGGTGACGTGGTGTCGCGGAACGTGGGCGTGGGTGAGATCGATGACGTCGAGGAACCACGGGAGAGCGGCGTCTTGGCGGTGATCTTCGTCTGTATGGGGATGGGGTTCGGCGGTCCTTGGCGTGTTTCGTGGATGATCGATAACGAGGAAGAGGAGAACGAGGTCGAGCTGCACGTTGAGGAGAATAGCGATGGTGATGGGAATGTACAGAAGGTCGATGGGAACGTGATCTTGGAGTCCTGGATCGTGGTCGGCGTGTTGGTGATGGTGGAACTTGTGGTTGGTGAGGAGGAGCGATGGCTGGAGCTTGGACAATGCGAAGGTCCGGAACGTCCGGTTCGGTGGGTCTGGCTTTCGGTGCAGGTGGAGGCGTGGCGATCAGTGGTGGTGTAGTTGTAGGTGGTGGTGTCGGTGGTGTAGGATTCGGTGGAGGTCCATCTTGTTGGAGAAGGAGTTGACGTTGTTCTTGTGCTCGTTGAGAATCCATGATCCACTGTTGCTGAGCTTGAATAAGTCGAACCGATTCCGCCAGTTGCTGTGCAGTGGAACCCAGGGATGCAAGTTCAGGTGACACGGATGAAGTCGGTGCTGTCGTAGGTGCCGGTGGTGTAGCATGAGGAGGGGCTTTCGGAGCTGGCCTGCGCGGTCGATCCGGTCTTTTGTCAGAGCGAAGCCTGGGAGCTGCCTTAACTGCTGGGGCCCGTGGTGAAGGCTCATTTGGAGGGACCGTCGATGCGTCCATCTGTAATGGAGGTTGAATGTGGTGAGGTGGGTATGGAGAACTGGGCAAAGGTGTCGGTGTCATAGTCGATGTAGGTGGTGTAGTCGATGTAGGGGATGGAGCCGGAGGGGAAGGCCACGTAGGTGGAGCGGTGGGTGCCATAGGAGATGGAAAAGTCGACGGAGCGGTGTGCACCATAGTAGGTTCAGGGCCCAAAGGCGAAGGCATGGTGGGTACGAGCTGTGGGCCTGGTACTGCATGAGAAGCCGAAGTCAATGAGGTGAACGGCAACGATGTTGGGGTTGATGTAGACGGCATGAGCGAAGCTGAGGATGACCATGTAGGATGCAAGGCCGAGGGATGTCCAAATAGATGTGCATTCGGCGATGATTGCTGCCACGTCGAAGATGGGTTCGCAGGCTGCGGTGGAGCAGGCCATGACGTTGGCGGAGTGTTCCACGGATGCATCGCTTCAGTAGACCAAAACAAAAGTGGACAATCACATACAGGATTCAGTCCCTAAATGCCTAAAATGTCTTGCAATTATTCCCTGCACCGGGACCGTGGTCAAGTCATGCCGCAATGGCATAAAACAGCTTTCAAGTTCCAACGAATTAGATGCACAATATGTTTCACCTCACCAGAGAACCAAAAGGAAGGAATACCACACCTGAAAGTCGTGTGCCTGCCTGATCATAAGTCGTGAAATAATGCAATATGACGCTGCAAAAGTTGCTGCAAAAACGGAGGTTTCTGAATGTTCCGAACGGCTTCGCTCTGGTAGACAGGCAGTGTGGCGAGGAATCCCTGGGACCACAGGAGCCGCAGGACTTCGTCAAAAGTGCAAAACGGTAAGGCCAGCTGTTGCGACTTACTTAGATGAATTACCAAATTAAAATGTGTGAATTCAGAATTCAAGACTGTCAACACTCACCCTGAAAAGGGTTGCCTCAAATGGCTCCATGGCACCATGTCGGAGCCACCATGGAAATCACACTAGACAAGAATGGATCATTATATGATCCGGCAGGAACTGAATCCTGAAACATGCAAACCAGCCTAGATCGTTAGATTAATGAAGGAGCCACATGAGGTACTTCTCGAAAACGATGTAGGGTATCCAATATTGTCAAACGGAGTTTTAACCAGAGTCCACAAAGTCTTGACCAGCATGTTGAAAATCCAAAATAATACTGTTTCGGCGATTGTTTCCCAAAATGATCTAAAGTTCATCGGCGACATGATCTCGGCGAAAATATGTCTAATACTGTCGGCGACGTGGTTTCGGCGAAAATCTGAGGAAGGTTCTGATGCATGCAATACAGATTGTGGCAACCGTGTAGATTCGAAACAACGCAGTGTAACAGCATGGTCAACAGTTCAAACTGAGTTTTGCAGGTACAAGTAGTTGATCAGACCACTCATCCACCGAAATGCCATAGCTTCGTTGGACTGGATAGGCAAATCGGCTCCAGTCCCCCTGCAAATATAAAGGTTCCCTGCAAATGTAAAACGATAAGAGTCAAGGAAGTTTTACATCTGTTCAGATGTTACACACACACACATACACACACACACACTGACAGTTCAAACAGCTCAGCAACAGGATGTGACGCGTCTGTCCTCCTCTGTCTCCTGCACATGCTGGCAAGGGCAACATTCACCCGCGTTTGGATTGGTGCACCAGAAAAAGCAATCAAAACAGCAAAGAGTCCTCATCTTCCTGCAACAATGGGTGTGGCTCTTTTGATGTTGGTATCACCAACTAAAACGATCTCAGTTTCACAGAAGGGCACCAAGCATATCGTAGTTGGTGCCCACGCATGGTGCGAGCCTCTTGAACCATCATCGAAGGGATGGAATTGGACAAGGAGGTGATCCACCTGCAGGATGTCGGAATAGGCAGTAAGAGGCCATGCCGGGCCCACGGAGCTACACACTGGTGAACAAGGCAAAAACAACTGCAAACATATCGGATCATGTTCATATCTGTTCATTCTATGATTCTATGTCGCTTGTCAGTCCCCTTTGTCAGTGCCTATCATGAGTTGCGGGATCAAATTCAAAAGCAGGTGGACGCTGCGATCTTGGGGACAATAGTGTGCACAAACCTTGCGAAACCAAGCACAAGTCCAGCCCAGCACTGACAAAATCGAAAACTGAGCCGTGCAATTCAAGAAAAAGCAACATCCAAGTCTCCGGCTGTTATTCCAATCCAAGATCATTTGATCCATGGGTAGGTCATTCGGCTCATCTGGCAACAGTGCAAGGTTGATTCCGAACCGTCAATCAAGCAACAAAACAAGTCGTTAAAGAGAGAGGCTAGGGAAGACAGGCCAGGACAAGGCTCATGAATGATTTAGACTTCACTGTTAGACTCTGTTTCTGCTAGCAAAACCTGCCTCCAAATGGAGCCTCTAGCTGCAAAGCTATAAAATTCAGGCACCACCTGCGAAAGACAAAGCAACACAAAAAGAGAAAAAAACTACAGAGCATACACAGGCAGCAACCAGGGGTTCAGTGTTTGTGTGTGTGTCTCTGTGTGTGTCTGTGTGTCTGTGTGTCTGTATATGTGTATGCGCGCAGCTCACCTATATGGCACGCGTGTGTTTAGACTATGTATATACAGCCATGCCTGATAGGCGATACACTAATAGATCTCGAATATACAGATTAAACGGCCGACTTACTATACCTATACATATACATATACATATACATATACATATGCATATACATATACATATACATATACATATATATACATATACATATACATTTTACATTATACATTATACATTTTACATTATACATTATACATTTTACATTTTACATTATACATTATACATTTTACATTATACATTATACATGATACATTATACATTATACATTATACAATATACATTATACATTATACATTATACATATACATATACATGCACATATACATATATATATACATCATATATACATATATACATATCTACATATATACATATATACATATACATATATACATATATACATATATACATATATACATATATACATATATACATATATACATATATACATATATACATATATACATATATATATATACATATATATACATATATATACATATATACATATATACATATATACATATATACATATATATACACATATACATATATATATATACATATATACATATACACATATACACATATATACATATATACATATATACATATATACATTCATACATATATACATATATACATATATACATACACATATACATGTATACATCATATATACATGTATACATACACATATACATGTATACATACACATATACATATATACATACACATATACATATGCATAACTACATATATATATAATATTATATATATATATTAAATATACAGATGCATGCATGCCAGAATACTGTCTGTGTATGTCATGCGCAAATAGCTCATCTATACAGTCCGCAGTGTATCCCGCAAACAGCAAGCTAAGCTGGACTGCGCTGTTGAAAGTTGTACGAGGTTCTTGTTGCAAGCAAGTTACAAGAAGAAGATTACCTCAGCATTGCCATTTTTGCTGGTCAATGAAGCTTCAAATGCATTCAGTCAAATGCATTCAGTGGGCGGCTATGGTCGAAATGTCTCGTTTCTGAAGGCAATCAAAGTCATGGTGCAAGCTTTCAAAAACGCAAACCAGAACCAAGCCATGCAAGGCGCCCCTCGCTGACCACAGATTCATGAATCAGATGAAATCAGATGAAATCAGTGGTGGGCCATCGGCCAGTGCAGTCAAGTCTCTACAAAGGAGGTTCCAGCTGCCATAGTCTTGGACAGAAGCATGCTGCACCAGAAGGGCCTTAATCCAATTCAGCAGACTGTGCGAACTTGGAGGAAATAGGACCTGATTGTCCCGTTTAGGTGCTTGAGCTGCCAGAGGTGGATTCCAAATTAGAAGATGTAAGAACGATTAAGAATTCAAGTTCCAATTGTTTGTATATCTCATGCATAGTTGAGGCCAAGGCATGAGTCCCCAATGAAGTAAAAGCATCAGAATGCTGACCTTGCAGAGCCCGGTGCGCAGTGTAAGCAGTGTAACGGAGTCTAACACCGTGTTTCTGTGTAATATGACACGTGACGTGGCTGCAGTGTTGCAGGAGATCCACCTGATCCTAAAGGCGTGCCTGCGCATAAGGATATGGAAACGGAAAGTCAGCGATCTTTCGTGCGTTCTGCAAGTTCACAATCCCCCGAGACAATTCCTGACACACGCCAGCCATAGACACAAACTCGCAAACTACTGAAATGCTCCTTAACCGGCTCCTGCAAATGTTAGAGACGAACTATGTCTCCGTGTCTTTTCAATCCGTTTTATGAAATTGGGGAATTCACGATCTCACCTCCTTTTTCAATGAAGTGACACAGCCAATGAAGTGACATTGCCACAGGCCATCAGGCCATAGCATTGCTATGTTTTCAAGGGCATGGCGGAAATGAACAAGGCAAGCAGAAACACTGCAGATATTTGCAGCTATTGATGCATTTTGATGAATTTTGCGAGGTGTAAAGTGCCTGGAAAGCTCGTGACAGGACTGGAGGAGCAACAGGGAGAACCCCGTCATTCATGCGAAGCACCTTGGCCAAGCTGATGTGTTTTACCTCCCTCATGGAAGCCTCGTCAAAAACATCTCCATACATGGCAGGATAGAGAAGGAATCCAAACTTCATGAAACGAGGAGGCAGTCAGCGTTGATAAAAAGATTGGGAAGAAACCATGCGCAGAAATAAATACAAGTGAAACTGAACTTTAGGTTTTGCACAATCGACCGCTGGATCCATTGCAGTATGATCTCTACCTTGTCCCTGGTGCTTTCCAGGTACCTGCCACACAAACTCAATGATGGATATGGGTGGATCCACATGGATATACATGATACACATGAATATACAGTATGCCGACTGTACTGAGAGCATATTGCTCATGGCGTGGAGTGTCAATCCGAAATGACTAGCTCAGGCTCTTGCAGGAGACTTTCCTTGGTGAAGTTGGAAGTGACATGTTAGAGGGGGCAGTGAACATCAAACACCATCTTAATAATCTTATATAATTTATAGTACGGTGATATCAGTGAAGACATCCAGCATCTCAACAAAGGAATCAGCCAAGCTGCTAATTCAATGCCCTGTGTGTCGAGGATTTCGAAAGGGCGGTCTTTGCTAGGAGACACTTGCCTCAGCTTCTCTTGGAGCACACCTGCCACCTGTGAATACAATTGCAAACCTATAGGGGAAACTAGGAACAATCACTACTGCAAATCCTTTCCACAAACATATTTGAACATATCAACAACGCACAACATTTACAGTAGTTTAGGTAAGCGTGGTATTGTTTCCAAGATTTTGAATGCTAATGCTACATCAGGTTTTCTTGTGAGTACGTTCCTTTTCTAAGTCTCAGCTTAATTTTCCACAAAATAGACCCCTCTCGAATCTACTCTTCAGTTCGGTTGAGTGCATCCCAATAAAACAAATCAGTTTTTGACAAAGCATGAATTTCTGTTGCGTCGCTCTAAACTGTGAAAATCCAAGACACTGGAGGGCACAGCAGAACAGCAAAGACATGAGACGAGCCAGTAAATGATGAAATTCCATCACCTGTCAGCGTTTTGTTGCAGCTAGCACTTTCCTTGAGTTTCCACTAGGTCAAATCCATTCAAATCCAACAGACTTCAGCGGTTCCTCGCCTGTCTCTGTAATTCAGGCCTAGCCGAACCTGGCCCAAAGGCAACGCAGTTTCAAACATGTTCAAACAATGGAGGGAATAACGAAAGTACAGCGGCAAAGCGACTGCACGACCACAAACGCAGCCAAGTGACTAAAGGCTACCAAACTGCTGTAGGCATTGAACCTTGAAATTCGCTTTGCTTCAAAAAAGGCAGAGCTGTTCACGCACAATAAATATGATTAATTGGTTTCCTCTTTTCTGGCACATGCCCTCCCTCCCACCCGTCTAGTACATGCTTGAGCTGAATAAGCATGTACCTGACGCACACTGATCAGTCGCAGTTTTTCGCTCGTTCTCATGAGCTGAGAACTTTGCCATTCTCCCCTCGTCTTCTGCAACAATGTGCCACCCTCCCACCATCGCTCGTAGGCAATGTCGCTCCGAAAGGTTAGGATGAACATCCTGGGTACTCGGAAGGCTTGACAAATTTATCATGAAAGCCAGAGTGCGAAACCTGATGTGTTTTTCTGGTTTCAGCAGGATTGAGCCTTTGATGTATTGTCTTATGTTATATTACCAGTAGTGCCGCACAAGGCGGCGACGAAAGTTTCAAAAATAGGAAACCTGTAGGAGAGGTGAGTTCTTGTGAATCACGGATGGCAGAGCTAATCCACTCATGGACCGACAGGTGGTTGGAGTTGTGTTTTCTGGAGTGGTTGCAATGGTTGCAGCGGTCACCTAACCGCACCTGCTGGATGTAGCGTGGTGTAGTTGTAGCTGTAGCTGTAGTGTAGTGTAGTGTAGTGTAGTGGAATTGTAGTTTAGTTGAGGTGCTATGTCACTATGGTAGCGCAGTTGCAGTTGCAGTTGTAGCTGTGGTGTGGTGTAACTAGTGCAGTGTAGCGTAGGGTACTGTAATGTTGTGTACTGTAGTGTGGTATAGTGCAGTGTAGTCTCGTATAGTGTAGTGTACAGTAGTACTGTAGTTGTAGTGCAGCGTAGCGCAGTGTAGTGTAGTGTATCGCAGTGGTAGTTGTAGTTGTCGTTGCTGCTACTGCTACTACTACTACTACTACTACTACTACTCCTACTACTAGCAGCAGCAGCAGGAGGAGGAGTAGTAGTAGTAGTAAGAGTAGTAGTAGCAACAGCAGCAGCAGCAGCAGCAGCAGTAGTAGTAACAGTAGTAGTAGTAGTAGTAGTAGTAGCAGTAGTAGTAGTAGCAGTAGTAGTAGTAGTAGTAGTAGAAGTAGTAGTAGTAGTAGTGGTGGCGGCGGTGGTGGTGGTTGTTGCTGTGGTAGTTGTGGTGTAATTAGTGCAATGTAATTAGTGTAATTAGCGTAATTAGCGTAATTAGTGTAATTAGTGTAATTAGTGTAATTAATGCAATTAGCGTATTAGTGTAATTAGTGTAATTAGTTTAATTAGTGTAATTAGTGTAATTGGTGTAATTAGTGCAATTATTGTACTTAGTGACATTAGCGTAATTAGATGTTATTAGTGTAATTAGTGTAATTAATGTCATTAGTGTAATTAGTATAACTATTGTAATTAGTGTAATCAGTGTAATTAGTGTAATTAGTGTAATTTGTGTAATATGAGTGATAGTGTAGTGTAATGTAATTAGATGTAAGTAGTGTAGCGTAGTGTAATTCGTGTAGTGTAATGTAGCGTAGTATATTGCATTTGTAGTTGTAGTTGTCTATCTATCTATCTATCTATCTACCTATCTATCTATCTATCTATCTGTCTGTCTGTCTGTCTGGCTGTCTGTCTGTCTGTCTGTCTGTCTTTCTGGCTGTCTGGCTGTCTGGCTGTCTGGCTGTCTGGCTGTCTGGCTGTCTGGCTGTCTGGCTGTCTGGCTGTCTGTCTGTCTGTCTGTCTGTCTATCTGCAAGCTTGAAAACAAATCTAGTCTGCGGGGCTTCCTCAATTTTTGAACTTGCCGACATCAAAAAAAACAGCAATTCTGCGAGACTTCCTTAATTTTTGAACTTGACAACAAAGCAAGTCTACGAGACTTCCTCAATTTTTGAAGTTAGCAACATCAAAAACGAAGCAATTCTGCGAGACTTACTTCAATAATGGAATGTTGATTGCGAGCTGACGGCCTCGTGCCAATGCGTTTTGCAATTTTTCCAGTCTATGTGTCTTAAACATTGCGCCTGCCACGAAAAAGTGAGGCCAGGTCATGCGAAGTGCTGCACCTGTCACGCAAAATCATCTTAGCAAACCTGAAGATCTGATGCTCCAAAAAAATGCCACCCCTCTCAGGAAATCAGCGCCTTGACCTCCTGACATCTCTGATGAACATGTCTCTTGTATTGCGCCTGCCAGGCGAAATCCATCTTTGCGGATCTTCTTCACATGTCCCACGCCTGCCAACGCTTTTGGAAATGCAAAAAAAACTCATGTTTTGCTCACTTGTGGCAAAGTGCGGAATCCCTTGCGCCTGCCACGCAAAACCACATCCTAAACTCAAAAAGTGCTCCGAGACCGTCAGTTTTTAACACTTTTGACTTCTGAACTGCCAAAAGCGGTCGAAGGCTGAGGTGCTTTGTACATTTTGACTTCGAAACGCGCTTCGCGCCACAACGGCGTGACTTTTTGAACATCTCAACTTCCAAAAGTACTCTGAACGTGGTGTGCTTTGTACATTTTGACTTCGAAATGTGCTTCGCGCCACAACGGCGTGCACTTTTTCAACATCTCAACTTGCAAAAGTGCTCCGAGCCCCTCAGTTTTCAACACTTTTGACTTACAAACGTGCTTCGCGCGACCACGGCGTGCACTTTTTCGACATCTGAACTTCCAAAAGTGGTCCGAGACTGAAGTGCTTTGTACATTTTGACTTCGAGATGTGCTTCGCGCCACAACAGCGTGCACTTTTTGAACATCTCAACTTCCAAAAGTACTCTGAACCGGTGAGTTTTCACACTTTTGACTTCCAAAAAATTTGCTTCGCGCCACCACAACGGCGTGCAATTTTTCATCTCTCATCTGGCCACATGGCTCCGCACCCGCCGCTTTAGCGAGCCTACTTTTAGACCCTCCGGAGCCACAAAATCATTGGAAAAATACCGCATTTCGCGACGTTGCTACCTTTTCGAGCGCCTGCATCTTCTTTCTTCTCACTCTTTCTCTGCTCTGATCTTCTCTCTTCTGCTCTTCTCTTCCGTGACTCTTCCCGGACATGCTTTTCAGCTTTTCCATCTGCCCATATTGCCGGAAGTTTGACTTCAAAACTTCCTTCGATAACATAATATGATATAATGAAATGTAATATAATTTATTGTTATATTACAATATAAAGGAATTTAATACAATATAATGTAATACAATAAAATATGATAGCATATAATATGATATAATATTATTTAATTTAATTTAATGCAATATAATACAAGAAAATACAATATAATATAGTATGATAAAATAAAATATAATATATTATGTAAAATATAATATATTATATTTTGGAATTTATTATATAAAATATAATATATTATATAAAATATAATATATTATATAAAATATAATATATTATATAAATTATAATATATTATCGAAGGAAGTTTAGAAGTCAAACTTCCGACAATATGGACAGATGAAAAGCAGAGCAGGGAAGAGGCAGAGAGAAGAGAAAGATTAGAAGAGAGAAGATCAGAAGAGAAAGAGTAAGAAGAAAGAAGATGCAGATGCGCGAAAAGGTAGGGAAGTCGCGAAACACTGTGTTTTTCCAATGATTTGTGGCTCCGGAGGGTCGAAAAGTAGGCTCGCTAAAGCGGCGGGTGCGGAGCCAGCTGACCAGATGAGAGATGAAAAATTGCACGCCGTTGTGGTGGCGCGAAGCAAATTTTTTGGAAGTCAAAAGTGTGAAAACTCACCGGTTCAGAGTACTTTTGGAAGTTGAGATGTTCAAAAACTGCACGCTGTTGTGGCGCGAAGCACATCTCGAAGTCAAAATGTACAAAGCACTTCAGCCTCGGACCACTTTTGGAAGTTGAGATGTCGAAAAAGTGCACGCCGTTGTGGCGCGAAGCACGTTTGCAAGTCAAAATGTACAAAACACCTCAGCTTCCGACCACTTTTGGAAGTTGAGATGTTGAAAAAGTGTACCCCGTTGTGGCGCGAAGCACATTTCCAAGTCAAAATGCGGACCACGAATGTCGAAAAAGTGCACGCCGTTGTGGCGCGAAGCACATTTCCAAAAATGTACAAAACACACCATTCTCGGACCACTTTTGGAAGTTGAGATGTCGAAAAAGTGCACGCCGTTGTGGCGCGAAGCACATTTCCAAGTCAAAATGTACAAAACACACCATGCTCGGACCACTTTTGGAAGTTGAGATGTCCAAAAAGGGCACGCCGTTGTGGCGCGAAGCACATTTCGAAGTCAAAACGTACAAAACACACCATGCTCGGACCACTTTTGGAAGTTGCGATGTCGAAAAAGTGCACGCCGTTGTGGCGCGAAGCACATTTCGAAGTCAAAATGTACAAAGCACACCACGTTCAGAGTACTTTTGGAAGTTGAGATGTTCAAAAAGTCACGCCGTTGTGGCGCGAAGCGCGTTTCGAAGTCAAAATGTACAAAGCACACCATGCTCGGACCACTTTTGGAGGTTCAGATGTCGAAAAAGTGTACGCCGTTGTGGCGCGAAGCACATTTCCAAGTCAAAATGCACAAAGCACACCATGCTCGGACCACTTTTGGAAATAGATAGATAGATAGATAGATAGATTGGGTAATTGAATGAAAGAAAGAGAGAGATAGATAGATAGATAGATACATAGAAAATAGATAGGTAGGTAGGTAGATAGTCAGAGAAAGAGAGCGAAAGAAAGGACACCTCAAGCACCTTTCGGTCCATCAGTGGCTTCGCTCTGCCATCCCTGAACCTCTCCTATAGGTTTCCTATTTTTGAAACTTCCGCCACCGCCTTGTGCGGTACTACTGGTATAAAATATAATACATAATATAGGTATATATGTAAATATGGTTTTTTGCTTTGTTGTATCATGTCATATCATATCATAATATGATCGAAGGAAGTTTAGAAGTCAAACGTCCAACGATATGGACAGATGAAAAGTAGAGATGGGCAGATTCAGAGAAGAGAAGAGAAGAGAAGAAGAAAGGAGATCAAAAAATGAGAAAGTCTCAGAAGAAAGAAGATCCAGGTGCGGGAAAAGGTGGGAAAGTCGCGAAACACTGTGTTTTTCTCCACATCTTTGTGTGGGCTTCTTGTTTTTGATTCTGTATCCCGCCTCCTCCTCCTCCGCCGCCGCCTCCACCTCCGGCCCACCATCTTTGTCACACAGCCACTTTGTCACCCACCATCTTTGACACACATTTTTGTCACACACAACTTTGTCACCCACCATCTTTGACACACACTATCTTTCACACACCACTTTGTCACCCACCATGTTTCACACACAACTTTGTCACACACCATC